TTGACGACGATTATGAATGGGTTCTTGCAGTTTGGTGATGTTCAGATGGCAGAACGCTTGTTCCGCGAGATGCCTGTGAGGGATGTGGCCGTGTGGAATTCAATGGTTCATGGATACTTTAGTAATGGACGAGTGGAAGATGCTAAAAACTTGTTTAAGCTAATGCCTTGTAAGAATGTGATTTCATGGACTTCGATGATTGCCGGGCTTGACCAGAATGGGAGGACAGATGAAGCTTTGCTGCTATTTTGGGAGATGATGGGTTCTGGTGTACAGCCCACTTTGACCACATTTGTGTCTGTAGTGACAGCTTGTGCAAATTTGTTGCGTTTACATTTAGGTGTTCAGATTCATGGTCAGATTGTCAAGTTAGGGTACTGCCTTGACGAGTTTGTAGCTGCTTCACTTATAACACTCTATGCGAACTGCAAGCAAATTGAGAATTCTTACAAGGTTTTCAAGGAGAGTTTACATAAAAATGTGGTAGTGTGGACAGCTCTTTTAACAGGATATGGTTTGAATTGTGAACACGAAGAAGCGTTAAAGGTTTTCAGGGACATGATGAAATTGGGTGTCCTTCCAAATCAGTCTTCTTTCACTAGTGCTTTGAATTCATGTTGTGGATTAGAAGATCTTGATAAGGGCAAGGAGATTCATACAACAGCTATTAAGCTAGGTTTTGAAAATGATGTCTTTGTCGGCAATTCTCTTATTGTCTTGCATACCAAATGTGGAAATATAAATTATGGAGTTGCTATATTTAAGAGAATTGGTGACCACAATATTGTATCATGGAACTCAACGATAGTTGGATGTGCAGAACATGGTTGTGGCATGTGGGCTTTGACTCTCTTTAGCCAAATGATACGTGCAGGTGTCATGCCAGATGAAATTACATTCACAGGGTTGCTTTCTGCATGTAGCCATTCTGGGATGTTGCAGAAAGCAAGACGCTTTTTCAAGTTTTTCTCGCAGCATAAGTCTGTTGAGGTGAAACTTGAGCACTATGCATGTATGGTGGATGTCTTAGGACGATGTGGTAAGTTGGAGGAAGCAGAGGAGCTGATAAAGAACATGCCTGTGCAAGCCAATAAGATGGTGTGGCTAACTCTACTTAGTGCTTGTCAGATGCATTCCAATTTGGATGTGGCTGAAAGAGCTGCAAAAAGCATTGACGATTTAGTACCAGACTGTAGTGATGCTTTTGTTATGCTATCTAATTTATATGCTTCTACAAATAGATGGAGTGATGTCGCCAGAATTCGAGAGAAGATGAAACATAGTGGAACTGTAAAACAACCTGGCTCCAGCTGGGTTACTTTGAAGGACTGAGGCATGCATTTCTTTCTGGAGATAGGTTGAAGCGAGCAAATTCATCAAAAACTGGATTGGTTACAAGGCAAATCAAAGAAACTTGGTTTTTGTTCCTGATCAACAGTTTGCATTTCAGGATGTTGAGGCTGAACAAAAGGAAGAGATGTTGTCTTACCACAGAAAGAGACTATGATCTATGAAAGGAGATCAAAAATGGTTTGAGTGGGTTTTGGCAGACCAGTTGAGCTAGTGAAGATATTAACCAAAGATACTTGGATGAAAAAACCGCCACTTGTGCATTCAAACAATTTTCTTTACCTAACCATCTTTGCATGTTTTGCTTCTCTAATATTGCAGAGAGTAATTTCAGCCCATAGAGGATGCTGTAATGTAATGAGTTTAGGTCCTTAAGAACTGTCACAGAAGTTTTACAACCATAAAGCATGTCGTTCTGTGGTGTCCATCGAAGGCCAGGTGATCCCATATAGCATGTTCCAATGATGTACTGATGTACACCACCTTCAAGCATAAAGGAGTCAAAGATTGCTAATTTTTTTTTGTGGATTGGAGTGAGAGGGTGATCCAAGGACATAGAGGAGATTGAGTTTGAACTGTTAGTGGCTTCACAAGAATTTATGTGATTTGACGAAATTGCTATCTAGCAAAAAGTTGCTTTATTTGGATGAAGGAATTTCAAATAATGAACTTGGATTTTACAAAAATTAATAGATTTTTCTGATGAAAAAAGACTAGACAATATTAAATCGAATGAATTTGAAATAATTATATGACAAAAGTTCGATAAGAAAAATTTGAGCTGAGTTTGTAGCTTTGTGAAATGGGAATCAAATATTTGGGGTTACAAACTTGCAAGAACTGAAAAGATAGGTTGTATATATATTTAAACAGGATAGCCGCGCGGTGATAACGTTTTTTATTTATTTCCTTCCTTTGGAGGTTTGTTTTATGTATGTGATGTCTAGCGTTTATGATTGTACACATGAAAAAATCAGCTTTGTGGAACTATATTTTTTCGCTTCGAGTCTAGGGAAGTGCGTGCAGTGTAGAAATTTTAGGGCTACTTTAGGTTTTTTGTTTAAGCTGCTAGAACTACAGTATTTTGTTTCTTATTTAGTTCTCTAGTTCTTAGACTTGTTGGAGGGAGCGGTGGATTTCAAGTAGCATCTACCCATCGCCCATGTACAAAAGGGCTGTGGCTGTGGGGTGCACCCTTTAAGAGAACTGCTCTTGATGGAACTGAATACAGGATTCAGGTGCCTTTCTCCTCTTCCCTCTATGGTCCTGTTCATGGAACTCCCTATCCATCAGATTGTTGATGGGCTTCTTAACAACATGATGAGCACAAAGATTAGTAGAGGAGGGGCAGAAGAAAGAAGATGCGGGGAGCCTATCCAGATAACAGACGTGTTATTGCTGCACTTTGACAGAAGACGAAAAGAAACAAAACTCTGCTCAAACGAACTCAGGTTTAACTTTCTCTCTCATAGAGGAAGTCTACACACCAAATTGGCAGCAAAAACAGAAGCAAATCTGGCGATGCACCCATTTGCCCATTCTCCTCCCAATTGAAAATTCGATTAAAGCCTAAGCAAATTAAGAACAAAATCATTGCTGCAAATCTCGGATTATGTATCGGGACTGTACCTTCGTGCGACTTCTCGGAGCCGAAATCGTGAATTAAGTTCAACAGCTGTGAATCGTGAATTAAGCCCCGCCCATCTGCTAGGCGGGACCTCCTTTCTTTGTTTGTAATAAATCGTATCGCCGCGCGGCTGTACTGTACAATATATTTCAAATGTACAGCCACGCGGCTATACTCTCCGGGCGGGTCTTTTTAGTTAGTGTAATAAGTAATATAGCCGTGCGGTAATGTTGGGTTTTTATTACAATTAATAGTATAGCCGACCGGCTATAATCGTAATTTATAAAATAAAGTATTGCCTGCGGTTATGTTTTTAAAATATTCGTATATATTTAAACCCGTCGATCAATGCTTTATGCTTAATTTACGACTTGAAGAGCTGGCATCAGGTCCAAAAAGGGTGAAAATGAAGTGAAGAATGGGAAAACTACTCACGTTCAGACCGTCCATGTTTGTCTCACCCCAAAACCATATGACGCCTGTCCCACCAAATCAAGTTTTCCCGCCAAGCGATGTCGGTCCCCATTGGCCACCACTCTATCCTCTGCTCTGCTGCGCTTCCTTCATCTCATACCTTGGCGAAATCGTAAATTAAGTTCAACAGCTGTGAATGTCGTCGGCCAACAGCTGTGAATCGTAAATTAAGCCTGCCTAGCAGCTAGGCGGGTCCCTCTTCCTTTTTTTTGTTAATAAATAGTATAGCCGGTCGGCTATACTGTGTAAATATACTATCGCCGCGCGGCTATACTATATCGTATAGCCGAACGGCTAGACTGGGATGTTTTTATTTTTTAAAAATTAATCGTACAGCCGCGCGGCTATACTGGGGTATTTTTATTTTTTGAAAAATAATAGTATAGCCGGCTATACTCGTGATTTAAGAGCTGGCTAGGCGTCCTTAAGTATAGCCGCGCAGCTATACGTTTAAATATAATATATTTAAAGGGTAAGCCCGTACAGCGATACTTGTTTTTAAAAAAAATTAAAGTGTAGCTATACTCATAAGCCTCCTAGCCTCCTAAGAGTATGTCCACCCCAAAAGGCTAAGGCAAGGCAAGGGCTACAACTATTCACGTGAATAGTGGTAGCCTTGTCTTTTTTGGTTCCACCCCAAAAGGCTAGGGCAAGGGCAAGAAAAAAAAAAGAATATGCAACAAAATATAAACTTGTTATGT